TGGAACCCACATAAAGGTAGAATGAGAGAACTGACTGCACAGACTTGTCCTCTGACTTCCACAGGTGCTTGCTGTGACACACACACACACACACACACACACACACACACACACACACACCACACCAACAAATAATAATAAATAATTTTAAATTTTTCTTGGGATTGGAGGGATGACTCAGTGGCTAAGAGTATTGCTACTCTTACAGAGGACCGGGATTTGGTTCTCAGCACCCACATGATGACTAGCACCTGTTCCAAGGGATTGGCTGCCCTCTTCTGTTTTCTATAGGCACTGCATGACATAGGTACACTTACATATATGCACGCATAACACTCATACACATAAAATAAAAATAAATCAATCAAAAATTCTTTATTTTAAATTTTATTTTTATTTTGTACTTATGTGTATCTGGTGTTTGTGAATACGTACACACACATATGTGTGTGTGTGTGTGTGTTTGTGTTTGTGTGTGTACACCTATAGAAGCAAGAAGAGGGTGTCAGATCCTCTGGAGCTGGAATTACAGTATGAACCACTCTGAGTGCTGAGAATTGCACTCCAGTCTTCTTTTTCTGGGGGAGGGGTCTTTTTGAGACCGGGTCTCCCTATAGACCCAGCTGGCCTGGAACTCACCAGGTAGATCAGGCTAGCCTCAAACTCACAGAGATCGCCTGCCTCTGCCTCCCAAGTGCTGGGATTAAAGACATGTGCCACCACGCCCGGCACAACAAGCACTCTTAACCCTGAGCAATCTCCCCAGTGCCTCCATTTCTCTGATATAGAGTCTTGTGTAGCTAACCTCAAACTTTTTATGCAGCCAAGCAGGGCCTTTGACTCCTGCCTCCATCTCGTGAGCACTAGAATTGTTAGGTATGAGCCACTGCATCCTGCTCAACAGAAAGTATTCTTCTGAGATTTTCTTTCCAATCACTTAAAAGTGTAAAAAATGTTCTTTGCTTGTAGTTTGTTCAAAATAAGTAAGAGCAATCAGACGTGGTGGCCTCTAATCCCAGTACTCAGGAAGCAGAGGCAGGCAGATCTCTGTGAGATTGAGGCCAGCCTAGTCTATATAATGAGTTCCAGGCCAGCTAGGGCTACAGAGAAATCATGTCAAAAAATTTAAACAAACAAATAGATAAATAAATAGGCAACAGCCCAGTGTGGTGACATGAGCATATAATCCCAGCACTTAAGAGGTAGAGTCAGGAGAGGCAGGAGTTCAAGGTCATCCTTAGCTAAAAAAAAAAAAACAAAACCCTCCAAAAACCAAACCAACCAACCAACCAAACAAACAAACAAAAAACCCCCCAAAACCCAAAACTAAAACAAGGGCTGGAGAGATGGTTCAGTGATTAAGAGCACTGGCTACTCTTACAGAGGACCTCGGTTACATTCCCAGCACCCACATGGTGGTTAACAACCCTCTGTAACTCCAGTTCCAGGGGAATCCGACGCCGTCCTCTGACCTCTGCAGGCATTGCATGACACGGGTGCACTTACATACATCCAAGCAATACACTTATGCATATAAAATAAAAGTAATTAAAGAAAATAACTAAAACAGGCCTGGAAAGATGATCCAGCAGGTAAAAGTGCTTATCATCAAGCCTGATCCAACCCAACTTCCATCCATAGGCCCTCTGTGGTGGAAAAGAGAATCAACTCCATAAAGTTGTCCTTTGACCTCTACATGTGTGTGCACGTACACACACAATAAATAAATATAATCTAAAAAATTCAAAAAGATTAAAAAAAAATAAAACATCAAATAAAAATAGTCCAAACTGAGCCATCTATGGTGCCACACCCTATTTGTACCAGTATCTAATAGAGTAGCAATCTTTAGAAAGGCTCAGTGACAAGGAGGAAATGCCTCCAAGCCCACTACAGTTCAACTATGAAGTTTTGCTAGAATGCTACATATGTCACACGTGGGGACTCAGGTTTCCTTTAAGACCAGAAACTCTTTTGAGAGCAGGAATATTACTGCTTAAGCACTAGGAGTCAGAAATGACCTGGGTCCTTGCTGAATGGCATTGGGTGAGTGACCTACCATCCCTAGGCCTCAGTTTCCTGATCTGACATTGCCACCTCACAGGCTTTCGAGAGGATGAAGGAGTGTATACACGCATGTCCAAAGCTCATGCAGGGCCTGATGTAGACCCACTGGTCAGGGCTATGGACTCTCCTTAGGTCCTTTGCTCTTACCCACCCTAGAGCCTAGCATAGTTCTGGGCCCAAAGTCCCCCAAAATTTCCCTTCTTGCCAATCTTAATTTGGATGGTAACAGAAAAATGTCCCAAAATCTGTGTCCAAAAGCCCCTGAGTATCTGTACTCTGGGCTCCTGAGAGAACCTTCACCCTTTGCATTTAACTGGAGCATCTGTTTCCTTTCTGGATTCTTTGCCCTCAGCAAAATGATTCCCCAGTCCCTCTCAAACCAGCCCATGTGGATGCCTAGGCACAGGAAGATCTTACTAGGTTCTGCTTTGAGGATGAGCTGTGGAAAAGGCTGCTTGGTTTGGGATAAAGGAATGGGAGCCTACCCCACCTGCCATTGTTTTGTTTTGCTTTGAGACAGGGTTTTCCATATCCTAGGTTGGCCTCAAACTCACTATATAGCCAGAGATAATTCTTTTTTTAAGACAGGGTCTCTCTGTAGCCCCCGTTGTCCTGGAAATCCCTATGTAGAGACCAAGCTGGCCTCAACCTCACAGAGATCCACCTGCCTCTGCTTCCCCAGTGCTGGGATTAAAGGCCCATACCACTACATCTGGCTTCCAAAGATAATCTTGATCTTTGGCTCCTTTGAACTCCACTTCCTTAGTTCTGGGATTTCAGGTATGGGCCATCACATTTGGTTTATATGGTGCTGGGGGCTGAACGTAGGGCTTCATAAATGCTAGGCAAGCATTCTACCGAATGAGTTACATCCCCAGTCCCTGACACTTTTTCTTAAATTTGATTTTACTTTTTATTTTTGTGAATTTCATACAATATTATTTAAAGGTATTTAGATCCCCTCCCCTATCTCCACCTTCCCTTATTTCCCCCACCCAATTTAATATATTCTATTATATATAATAAGGCCTATAGAGTCTAATTTGTGTCTCCAAATGTTCTTCAGTGTGGGCCCATCCACTGGAGCCTGGTTAACTTACCAAGAGTCCCATCCTTGAAAAAGACTGGCTCTCCTCGTCCCAGAAGCTATCTGTTGGCAAAATTTCCTTAGGTGAGAGTGGAGCTTCTTACCCACTTCCCCATGTCTGTGCTGGGATTTTGTCTAGTTTGTGCTTTCATGGGACTTGTGCATGCTGTCACCATTGCTGTAAGTTCATATGAGTAACTGAGCAGCTGTCTGGAAAACTCTTGTTTCTTGTGGTCATCCACCACCTCTGGCTCTTACAACTTTTTGCCCCTTTTTCCACAATGATCCCTGAGGCTTAGGAGGCAGAAGTTTGATATAGCTGTCCTATTCAGGGATAAGCACTCTGCAGCCTCTTGTTCTTTGTACATTGGCCAGTTGTGGGTTTCTATGTTAATGACCATCTGCTGTATAATGAAATTTCTCTGGTGAGAATTAAGAGATGCATTAATCTATGGGTATAACAATAAGTCATTAGGAATCACTTTAATATGATTAACTATTTAGTAGAAAACTAGCATTAGGCTCTCCCTTATGTCCTGTGACCTGTCTACCTTCAGGCTCTTAAGCCTGATCTTAATGTCAGGCATGGGTTCCATCCTATGAAGTGGACCTTAAGTCCAATGAGAGAGTGGTTTGTTACTCAAATAATATTTGTGCCTCTATTGCACAAGAAGTGGGCATATCTTACCAGGTTAGTTGTTGTAGTTCAAGGGACTCACAGCTGGGTAAGGTTGATGAATATTTTTTTCCTTCTGGCAGTATGCATAGCACCTTCTAGCATTATGATTGCTAGCCAGTAGAGTTGAGGCTCTGAAGTCAGCACCAGCTTGATTTCTCCTTGTTTGTTCTACAGCTTACGTATGTAGTGTTGTCAGCAATAGGATAGTGACCCATCTTTTAATACTTGCCACAGTATTTAACTTACTTTCAAAAAGAAACACATATAGAAAGCAAACAATTTTCATCAAAAAAGCAAGAAGAGGGCTGGGGTTGCAGCTCTGTAGTACAGCCCTTGGCTCACATGCATGTGGCCCAAGTTTCAATTCCCAGTCCTCAACCTCCCCACCAAAAAAGAACATCAATGGATCTGCTAGCAGGTAAAGCACTTGTCACCTAAGCCTGATAACCCAAGTTTGATCCCTGGAACCCCATGTAAAGGTGGAAGGAGAGAACTGATTCCTGAAAGTTGTTTTCTGACCTTCACACACATCATATATATGATAATCTAATTTTTAAAAATTTATTCAGTATTTTATGTGTATGAGTGTTTTGTCTGCAGGTATATAAGGGAACCTGTGCAGTACAAAACCCACGGAGGCCAAAAGAGGGCCTTAGATCCTCTAGGACTGGACTTAGGATGGTTGTTAGTCTCCATGTGGGTACTGGTAGCAGAACCTGGGTCCTCTGGAAGAGCAGCCAGTGCACTTAATGGCTGAGCCATCTCTCCAACCCCATAACTTTAATTAAAATAAAAAATAAGATGCCAACTTGGTGTGGCGGCCCAAGCCTGTAATCTCATCACTTGCGAGGTTGAGGCAGGAGGAACAGGAATTCAAAGCTACTTAAGTGAATTCTAGGTCAGCCTGGGCTATATAGCAAGACCCTGTTTCAAAACATCTGGCATGGTAGAACACACCAGTAATCCCAGCACGCTAGAGACTCAATTGGGAGTTCTAAGCTGGCATGAGCTACAGAAACTAACTCAGTCTTCGGAAACAAAACTAACAAAAACAGGACAGAAGCAAGACTAAAGCGCAGGCGCTTAAGGACACAGCTTCTTGAGCCCCGCCTCCGCCATCAAAGTGTCCAATCAGAAACGAACCTGCTCATGACACCATCTTCCCGCGACCGAACGGCCGCTGGCAGGCGTTTCCTCTTGTGAGCCCAGGCGCCGAGACCATGGGCAGCCAGGAGGTGCTGGGCCAGGCGGCCCGGTTGGCCTCCTCCGGTCTCCTCCTGCAGGTACTCTGCGCCCCGGCTCCAGGCATGGGGACGGGCCCGCCGCGTCGCCCGCTGTGGAGCGGGTTCTACCCCAGACCGCGGCGGGGAGGGTTGGCTGAGTGACTGCAACAAGCAGCTTTCATTCTGAACGTTGTATTTCCGAGCGGCAGAAGGAGACCATTAAGTGGCAAAGGCAGAAGATGGTTGGTGCTCGGGAATGATAACTTTAAGGCTGGGGTTCGTTTCCTGTGTCCCCATCCTTGGTCCTCAAACACCTTCAACTTTGAGTCCCACAGAGTTTAGAGACGACATGGCAGCTCCAAGAACAGGGATCCGGGCTCACGCAATACTGCTGCATGACCCAGGACAAATCACATTCAGTGCCTCCGCTCCTTGCTGATAGATTGAGGGTGATATATAGTTCATAAGGCAGTTGGAAGAATTGACTGGGGTCAATAGAATAAATGCACCTAACACAGCACCCGTATACTTGTATGCATTTAACAAATGTTAGCTGCATCTTCTGCAGGTGTTTGGAAAAGTCATTTTTGGTCTAATTCATTTCAGTTGCCAGATCATGACAATTGTTCGTTCAGGTGACATCTAAAGATTTCTTTCAACCCTGGAAATCAGTTCTAAGTCAAGATCTTCAATTTTCTGATCTTGTTTGCCAGCTAATCCACCCTATTTCACACAAGTCCTGAATCCACTTCCACCGTTATCCTAGAGTCACAAAGAGGTTAGGGGGAGTGAATCAGGCCATCTCGGACTTTGGTTTGAGCCTTTTTACTTGCTAGATGTCTGCTTTGAAGATAATATTGCTTGGGCTGGGCATGGTGGTGCAGATCTTTAATATAAACACTGGGGAGACAGAGGCAGGTGGATTTTTTGATAAGTCAGTTTTCTTTTTTCTTCTTTCTTTTTGACACAGTTCTTGCAGTGTAGTCCAGGTTGGACTTGAACTGTTGATGTACTTGCGTCAGTTAACCAAGTGCTGGGATTACAGGAATGCACCACCATCCCAGTAGCTTCCTCATCTTGGGTGAGAACAGTAATATAGCCTTACATTTGGAAGGTTAGAGGAAATCATTCCTGTTAAATCCTGGCACATTACAAGGTGGTTAATAAGTGTTAGCTGTTTTTATTAAGGTATTAAGTTTGTAGATGGCAGTGTAGGGGTGAAGCATGTAGAAAAGTGCCTTGTACACAGTATGTGCATAATAGATGCTAGCCACCCTTTGTCTAATCCTGGGTTTATTTAGTTTTTTGTTTTCTGATTTCACAGTATAAGTGAGTTCAATGCTTTGTACACAGTGTTGGTTCTTCCACCTTTGATAATACCTTGCTATCTAGGTTAGCTTCAGAAGAAGGAAACATGTTAGTAGAAGATGCACTGGACTAGGAGTCAGGTGACTTAACTGTAAAATTAAGTCATTTGTTTGCTGGTGAATGGCAGATCACTGAGTCTTGTTTCTGGTGTATTTTCCTGGTTGTTGTTTGGTGCTGGGAATTGAACCTAGAGCCTCATGTATGCCAAGCAGGTGCTTTACCATTGAGCTATACTCCCAGCCCTGGTGGTCCCCTGACCCCAAGAAATTTGTTTATTGGAGCATTTATGGCAGAGGGAATGGAAAAGACTAAATTTCCAAAAGTAAGGAATTGGTTAAAATAATATAGTACAATCTTAATAGCATGGGCCAGGTATGGTGGCACACACCTTTAATCTCAGGACTTGGGAGGCAGAGGCTGGCAGATCTCTGTAAATTTGAGGCTAGCCTGGTCTACATAGTAAGTTCCAGATCAGTTAGAGCTCTTTGTGATACCCTGTCTCAAACCAAACAAAACAAGAATATGACCTGGGACTTTCCCAATTTATTTTTAGATAGGGCCTTACTATGTAGCCCTGGCTGGCCTGAAACTTACTATGTAGACCAGGCTAGCCTTGAATTCACTGAAGTTCACCTGGGTGCTGGGATTAAGGGCATGTGCCACCACACCCAGCCAAGCCTGGTTGTTTTTAAGGGTCAAATAACAAATATAAAAGCTTTTTTAAAGTAAAGTCCAGGCTGGGTGTGGTGGCGCATGCCTTTAGTCCCAGCACTCAGGAGGCAGAGGCAGGCGGATCTCTGTGAGTTCAAGGCCAGCTTGGTCTACATAGTGAGTTCCAGGACAGCTGGGGCTACAGGGAGACCCTGTCTCAAAAAGACCAAAAAAAAAGTAAAGTCCATTAGCTGGGCTTGGTGGCACACTTCTTTAATTTCAGCACTCGGGAGGCAGAGGCAGGCAGATCTCTGTAAGTTCAAGCCTGGTCTACATAGTGAGACCCTGCCTCAGGAAAAAAAAGTACATTGTGAAAATAAATGGAGACTGTTTCTAATAAGGGCCACTGTGTAGAGCAAACACTTTATTAGCTCAAACCTTTATTCAGACCAATTAGAAGATAGGGGTGTGGCCTGAGACCTTAAGTGGCCTGGATAATGATAGCTTTGTAAATGTACAATTCTTAATTGGCATATATTGTATAAAATAATGGGCTTCATAATGGCATTTCATGAATGTATATATATATATGGATTTTTAAGAATAGCCATAGAGTTTAGATTTCTTTTTAAAATTTATTTTGTGTATGAGTACATTGTCTGCCTGTATATAAGTGCACCTGTGTTGTGCACTGCCCACAGAGATCAGAAGACGGCATCAGATCCCCTTGAACTGGAATTACAGATGGTTGTTAGCCATCATGTGCGTGCTGGGAACTGAACCTGGGTCCTCTGCAAGAGCAGCCAGTTCTCGTAACTGCTGAGCCATCTCTCCAGCCCCTAGACTCTTGAGTGTTTTAATTCAGTCTGACATGTTTCTTCAAGTTATACTGCTGACAAATGTAGCTCTGCAACTACATTTTGTTATGTAAGAATTTGCAAGTTTATCGTCTTAACTCTGAGTCAACCACAATGTATGCTTCTAATTTCTATGCATTAAAAAAATCCTCGCACACTATCTTATTTTAGACTATTAATCAAACTTAGGAGATATGTAGCCTCGTTTGACAGCAGAGGAAATCGAGGCTTGTAAGAATGAGAAGATGATGCATCTAAGAGCTAAATGAGTCAAGAGCCAGCTGAGCACTTTCTCTAGTAAAGAAACTATGAATGGGCTCCCAGCCCCTGACACTCAGTACAGAATTGGTATATCTATACAGAACTGGTATATCTATATGTACCTGTATGCTTCTGAGAGGCTGTGGAGCTTTCGTCACATTCAGAAGGTCACCTTTGACTCCATAAAGATGGTGATAATCTTGGCATTGGAAACCTTGCCATTCTGTGACACTTTAAGGATAGTGTTTACTGGCCCAGAGATCTTCAGACTATCGTGATCCTGTAGTCTACATTGATTGAATCTTCCAAATGGCAGCTATGTACATGGATAACTCTGAGAGTGTTTCACACAGAATTGATTTGTCATTTGAGGCTGGGATGCAGAGACAGCACGAGTAAGACTTGCATCCTATCCAGCACCTCCATTTGGCAGTCTCGTTTAATTGCAGTTTCTTCTTTTCCTCTGTCTCATGGGAAGAACTCTGTTTAGATGGTTTTCTTGAATTGGCAGGTTGGAAAGTCCCAGGATATGTCCCTATTAAATAACAATGGCTGGACTCTATTTCCTCACTCTCATTTTGTAGGATCTTATTGCAGTTGTTATTCAAAAGATGCATCAACTGCTCTCTAGAAATAGGCAAGTGTTCCATAAAGAAATACAGTGTTTTCTGTTTTCTAATTAAGAGAAGACAATTTCAAAGAGATTAAATGTCCTTCTTGGAATCCTAGATTAACAGGCAGAGAAGAAAGAAATTAGGCTCCATATTCCTAGTGAGTCTGCTCTCCTCTGCAGACTCTCACTTGCTTAAGTGTCTTTTGACATTTTGATCTACAAATGTGTTGGGCTGCATCCATGGCTGGGACTCAGGTGACCCAAGAGCTACAGGTTGGACATGTCTGGAAGGGTTTTGATGAGGGGCCTGGATGGTGTGAGTCATTATTACAATTCGCTTTCTGCCTCCTGGAGTGTTTGACTTTGAGCCTGAAGAAATTCACTGAATCAATTGAGGCTTCTCTCGTCATCAGTAAATGAGGGAGACTCCCAAATACCTTCCTGGGTTCTTTGCCCACTGCTTGGGATGGTGAGAACCTCCAAAGTTTGACACTTGAGAAGAAATTGAGTAAGCTAAGCATCTTAGAGAAGAGATTTCATGGCAAAGCTGCTGTGTGTCATCATGCCACATTAGGAAAGAGCCACATGGTCCTCATTTAACCAAAGCAAATACTCCAAACACAATCCATTTTTATGTATTTTTCTTATTTTCCTACAGGTATTGTTTCGATTAATCACCTTTGTCTTGAATGCATTTATTCTTCGCTTCCTGTCAAAGGAGATCGTTGGCATAGTGAATGTCAGGTAAGGGGAGCATACTGACAGTGTTCACAGCTTACATCACCAGTCTCAGTTTTTCAGATTATACCTGTGTGCCACCCTTGGATTTTCCCAGTAGCAGAACATTTCAGCAGTGGGCTGAAGAGGATTGTAGGGGTAGGGGATAAGTGGGTGCTGCTGTGTTTAATGGATCCATGCCGTGTTTTCCATTAGCAGTCTCCAAGTGCACATTTCTCTATCAGCTGTTCTGATTTCCTTGCTCTTAGAACTCAGGAGAAGAGTGGGAGTAATTCGTTGCAAATGTCTCAGGTGTAGTGCTGTGTTCCTGTCCTGCTGACAGCACAGGAAGCAGAAATTCTATAGTTCGTGAGGATGTGCCTCATAATTGCAGGCCTGGAACAGCCACCTTCCTTTCCTCCTCGATGATTTTATAATTGAGATATGGTAACTTGGATCAGAGCTTGAGTCCTTGTGATTAGTTCTGTGGAAAGTGTTTTGTCTTCTAGACCACCTTGTTTCTTCTCTTTTGGTTAGGACACCTATACCTACTTTATATTCACAAATGACAGAAAAACACATGAAATTCTATGATTCCTCAGAACAGCTCAGCTTCTCAGGTGTTTCTTTATATTCTGATAAACAAGACAGGGTGTTCTAGACAGCATTATGCTTTGTACTTACCACAAGCTCTTGGTTCTTTGCAGAGAGCCTAGGAACAGTTTTCAAACTTTGATGGGATGCAAAGCAGTCATCTGGAGTTTTGTACTAGTTAGGACTGAGGAAGGGCCTGGAAATCTGCATTTTTGTATTCTCCTGAGGTGATATTGCAGCAGAGACCAATCTTTGAGATACACTATTTTAAAAGCAGGAAGAAAGAGGACTTAAATTTTCCTCCCCATGCAGTCTCCCTCAGATTATCAGGTACCTGCTCTGGCAGCCTTTGCCTGTCCTTCCCACTGATTAAAATCTGACTCTGGCTCTTCATCTGCAATGTTGAATGGGCTACTGGGGCAGTATGTACCTTGGGCAGTTTCACCAGGCCACTGCCTACAGAGGCAGAGAAACCCCAGCTGTTCCCCTTCACCCAGGTGCTGCCTGTCAGCAGGGTGTCTAGGCAGCTCTTCTGAGTTGGGTTGCAGCAACATCTGTAATGCCTGCCTGCCTTGCTATCTGTCCTAAGATTCTCTAGCACCTCCCTTCAGTAGATCTTCAGCTTTTCAGAGGCCACAGAGTCACTAATCTCAGTGTCACCAAAAGCTGTAGGGTGAGGGGCTAGAGGGATGGCTCAGTGCGTAAGAGCATTGGCTGCTTTTGCTGAGGACTTGGGTTTTGTTCCAAGGACCCACAAGGTGGCTAACAATTGTCTATAACTTCAGCTCTAGGGGGATCTGATGCCCTCTTCTGGTCTCTGGGCATTGTACACACAGGTGCAGGCAAAACCCTCATAAACATAAAAGTTAAAAAAAAAAAAAAAAAGCCAGGTGTGGTGGCTCAGGCTGTGGGTCGATAAGCTTGTCTTTTTCTCTTCCTTATAGTTACGGCCTCATCTCTGTCCACAGCCACAAAGGCTGCAACAGTCTCTAGCCCAGATGTAACTGTAGGCACACATACTTAGGTGTGCTTTGTTTAGTTCCTGACTCTGTTCATATGGGTCAGATTGTTGGTGGAGGGAGGGTGTTCCTAAGAGACCATTGTCCTCTGAATCCCTACCAGTAGTTTGGGGATTTGTTTTGTTTTCTCTTTTCCTCATTGCTAGGAGACTGAACCTGTGGTCTTACACATGCTAGGTAGGTACTGTGCCTCTGAGCTATATCCTTAGATGTCTTTTTCTTTCTTTCTTTCTTTCTTTCTTTCTTTCTTTCTTTCTTTCTTTCTTTCTTTCTTTCTTT